AATAGCCAGCCAGGATAAGCAAAGAGCAATTTCATTCTTTCCTTTACAATTCGGTGAAAACGGACTAAGCTGCTGTAGATTTCTTTTCGAAAACTTAGATGAGAACTATTAGATAACACAGAAAAATGAAAACAAGTTTGAGTCCTCTCCCTTTAGGACAAAATTCTGTTGTATCTTTCGGTTAAACATATCATTTGAGGAATCATGTCCGACAAAGCAGTTTCGTTGTAAGTAAATGAGAAAGAGAGAAAACATTTCCGTTTTATCTAAATAAAGTTCTATAGAGTATATTTAAAAACATCGAAGATTTCATCAGAAAAGTGCTAGAATCCCGGAGGCAAACACAACAAAAAGCACAGAAATTCTAAACTACAATTATGTCCATGATATCAATTGAATCTGAGCTTTCTCTGTTCGTAAAGCATTTTAAGTAGAATGGAAGAAAGAAGGGTAAGGAAGAGAAGAGTCATACGGATATTAGTGAATGCATAAACCATATGTACACAGCACATTGATGATATATTCTCAGAAAGATAAGCTCAAAGAAAACTTATTAGATTAAATAAAAAAATAAATAAAAATGTATATAATCACGAAATATCACAATTCTATACCCAGGTGCAGAAAACAGATCAACAATTCATATTTCATATTCTTACTGACACGACTGAACAGGCTTTCTCGTTCTTTCAGAAGATGTCCGCGAATCAAAAACATCTTCATGAGAACCATTTGAACGCTCATCGCCTTTTCCTACTGCTGCGACATGGCGCTTCAGCTCCTCATTTTCTAGTATCAGTCTTTCGATTACTCGTCGTTGATCTTCTATTATTTTTTCCTGTAACCCAAAAATTATATAAATATAAGTAAGGATAATTCACCTGGTCACTTATTACGGGTGGTTTTTCGAACATATTATTATTCCAGGTTGTAGGGGCAGGATGATCTCGTCTTGGAACCGTGTTTGGGCGATCCCAATCATCACCGGGAATCACATCTATCACAGTTGGCCTTAAAAGAGCCGATGCACGTGACATTCGTGGATTGGTTCGTGGTACTGAAGATCGGGGAGAAACTTCGCTCTCCGATGATGCTCCAAACATCTGTAAATTCCCAATTATTATGCAAATGGTCATAAGCAAACTGTACCTGATTTGAGTACCCTGTATAGTTTTCTTCTCGCTCGTAGGCCGGACTAGAACCACAGAAGGGAGACGTATTGTACGAATTTCCATATCCAGATGTGCCAGGATGCATTTCCGTTACTGAGTTAGGACTATATCCTGCGTTTGCTAGTGATAAAGTTCCCAAGTGATCCACTGGGGATGAAGATGCAGATGAATTACTATAGCTACTGCTATGATTATTACTATGGTACCCGGACGAGGGTGGAAGGCTTCCTGTATCAGGACTACCGTCTACCCTTTTTTTGGGTTTCCGTATTCTGAGTCTCTCAGCTCTAATCTAAATTACACCGTGAAAACTCCCTCTTTTAGAAAACACTAACCTCGCTGTCACTATCGGTGTCCCTTGCCTCGCAACTACTGCTAGTCTTGTCACTTGTACGACTGCTTGCTGTACCAGTTTCATCACTCAATCTTGTTATGTGCCGGGAAGGGGTAGCCTAAGAAAATAAAAAAAATAAAGTTTCAAATTTTCAATATATACCACTAATGCAGAACTGGTGACGTAATCATCACTTGTCATTAGATGAGCTGCTGGTCTGTTGCGAGATACGACTGTAGCTTGACCGGTTGGAGGAGTACTTCGATAAGCAGGAACGTTTTCGTTTCTTGGACGTAATACAGTCTGTTGAGGGCTGTTCTCGTAGTCACTGCTTGCTTGATGAGTGAGAGGTGAACTCGCCATTCCAGTTGACCGCCTTTTGTGTTCTTTTAAATTTGAAACAACAGCGCGGAGGTCGAGGAGACGACGGTCTGATGAAGCTTTCTCATGCACTTCAGGGGTCCACGATTCTTCCAAATAGGTTGTAAGCAAGCTCAGCTCTTTCCCAAGGTCCACGTGAACATCAGAACGAGATGGGGCATCACAAGGTCCGGAAGAAATGAACAATAGGAAGTCCTTCATGCGTTGCCATTCTCTTTCGACAAACTGATTCATGAACTCCATATAATGTTCCTTTCCTCCGAATTTGGTAAAGTTAGCAAGATTTTGTAGAGTTTTTGCGATGAGCGTGAGATTTCTAGCAGTCGTGCTTGATGGATATTCGGTGCACTGAACGAAAAAATTTAATGAATGGACTCAAGCATTCAAACTCACCAGGCTGAATAAGCTGGGACTCAAAATGGCAGGGCAGAGATAACGCAAAAATATTGATGAGGATATCAATGTATCTGCGAGACTACCACGACCCTGTGCTTCCAATCGTTCTCGAAGTGTATAGAACACATCGCGCAACTCGAGTGGAAGTTCGCTCGTGCTGAAATAAATGTAAATAATGAGCTGTCAAATCAGATGCAGGTCTATTCGTCGATTCGTATATGCACATAAGAACCCGAAAGAGAAACTGACCTATTAAGAATACAAGCCCATGCTTTTTCTACACAATCCATCAGTAAACCTCTATTACGTTCAAGAGTAGGAGTAGAAACAGATGCGAGTTTAAGAGGATCAACTTCGCATGATTCGGACATTGCCAACAAATCTTGGGTCAACCCACCAAGCGTATTCTGAAAGAAGAACATGAGCCAAATCGTGAAAGTAATAAACTACCTGCAAGTAGTCTTGCGAGACCAGTTTCATGTAAGCTTCCATAGCCTTTGTTGCTAATGAATTACCTCGGAACATTAGATGATCGTTGTCTGAAACAATAACAAAGTAGACTGAACAACTGCGAAAGAATTTCATACCTAGCATGTTAACTTCAGACATGATTAAATCGCATAAGAAGTCTTTCGCCAGCTTCTGACGATGGAGAATTCGTACAAGTGTTGTAGCAAAATCCTCTTTAGCTTTAACCGACAGAACAGGCTCCAATTGAGCACAAAGGGGTAAGTAGTTGTACGTGAGAAAATGTAATAGGTCATCATAGGCTCTTAGAGGTAATATTTCGACGGATTGCCATCTTGCTTTTATCCGTATAGCAGGTTGATCCATTTGAGTATTTTTAGCGCCCAGGGCATGAACAAGACGGTTGCCTGTATCTCCAGTAGTAGTTACCGTATACCTGGAAAACAACAGTTAATAAGACTTTATATGGATATGTATGAATATCTCTTCTATCAATCATCAAGCCAATAAACCATAATCATAATAATGTTTTTGTTTTTAGGGAATTCATAGATACCTGCCTGCAATAACTGCCAAATATGGAAGCCCAACGAAAGTAATTTTTTCGCAACCGAAAAGTCCAATGAATGACTCTAGGTGCCACATGCCGATCATTAGAAAACTCTGTCCCAAACGAGTTTTCTTCTGTTGAAACGGTCAGAGGCAAAGCAAAAGTTGGAGAAAGGTAAAAACTGTAGTCTTGCTCATTCCGGCGTTTCCCCATTTCTAGGAAAAACTTAATATTGGTCAAATGTGGGATACTACGACAAAAAAGATAATAAACTCATAACAATATAAGAGATATATAAGCAGGACTATGTTTGTGGGTCTCAGCTAAACAGATTCATTGACTCCACCCCCGTAGATCAGCAGTCACCCACGGAAAGCAAGCATTCTACTAGGAACTATCTCTCAAACGTTATATGATCGGTAAATAAATCTACAGGCAGCATAATAAGACTATAATATAGCAAAAGCCATAATAAAACACGAAGAAATCTCATTATCCTTCTAGAGGACTTTCAATCTTCTGATTAAACTCTTGCTAAACGATGTGGTGAATTCAGAAAGTAGAGCGAAACAATCGAATGATTAATCGGAATTACTGTTTTAATGTCGAAACGAAAGTTAAGAGAGAACTATTTAGGTAATACATTAGCGTAAGAATGTAAATAAACACAAACTTAGCACTAACAACTATACTTCCATGATGGATAACATCTCGAGCAATATCTCACGATCATACATACAGTCATAATCTGGGTGTTTCTGCACCAGCTTTGTTATGAACGAAAAAACTTGAAAATTTCATTGAGTGATCTGACAAAGAGACTAGATGAATAAACGCAGCGCTAAATAAAGAAAGCAAAAAATGGAAATCTGACATTTCGTTTGACCTATTTCATAGCAATGAAAGAAGTTGAAAGAAGGATTGAGAAACTGAACCGAAGATGAGAATAGTAAAATAACTCTAATAGCGTCGACTATCAATCGTTTGTCCTTGATTGCGGTAGGCAACAGCAGACGGCAGTGCAATTCTTTCCCTCTTTCATTTCCCAAACCCACCTTTTCAGCTATAAATTGAACCACCGAGCCTCCCTCCCCAAATGCTACTCTCCACATTTACACCATCCCAGGGTCATTGTAATTAGTAGATGTGAAACAAATTTTCGATTCACCATTCAATGACGGTAATGAATGGTATCCTCAGACCCTGCCCATGGTTTAAACATCTCAATACTCACCATCTTTCTACCGGATGTCGGCTTGTGAGTTGATCAATGCCAATCATAACATATCCTATTAGCTGTGAGCGGTCCTTCTTCTTTTTTGGATCAGCTTCTCTGTATATGTTGACACATAGCTGTTCGTATTTGGGAAGCATGCTGAAGATATACAAATGAACATCTAGAAAGCATTATGGAACTAACGGGAAATCAAAATGTTCTCCCCAAAACACATTATCTGTTCTTGGCTTAGCAGTAGTTCGAGCATGTAATACCTTATCAAGGCAAATTTCGCAGAAATATCTATAAAAAGTTATCATTAATCATTCGATCAGAAATCACACCTCCGCTTAGCAGCAAGCCCTTTAGCTTCCAATAACCAGAGCTGCAAACAATTTTCCACTCTCCGCTGCAAGTCTTGCCGCGGATTCATTGTTCTTCGTAAGCTGAAAAGCTGATATCAACAAATTCAAACACGATTTCTATTTGAAATTGAAAAAAATGCTAATAGTGGAGTGTATGAGATTGAGCGGATACAAAATAATAACCGGAAGGAAGCAAGGTTAATCAGGTCACTGAACATAGTAAACTGTGATGGTAGGAAAATTGTTATTTGTAATGTTCAAAATAACTTGTAACAATCAATGGCAGACAAATTGAAGACGAGCTGAAAACTTACTGATGGAATATAGGCAAAAACAGAATTCCAGATAGCATAAGAAACGAAAGTGAAAGTAACACTTGATCAAAGTTATCGATTTTAAATAAGAAAGTTGCATCAAAAAACTGAGAGGCTATAACTGACATCAACCATAATAATTAGCTAACGATGCCAATAACAGCTTGACGTCAGCTGTCTAATGATCAAGCCATATTATGGCTTCTGAGTATACGAGCGATTGTGGTTAGAGTGAACAGAGGTACGCCCGAAAAGGACAGGTGCATTCAGTTGACCGGACACCAGCATAACTAACGACAAAGGAAATCGCATACGCATATACAGACATCGCTATCTATGCAACTCCATTGCCGGCTGACGGTGGCAACAAACAAACACTGGGAGGACTTGTGGTTAAACATTCTTTTCACTAAGTCTATAAATTCTTAGGGTCTCCCGCAAAGAAAACGTAATTATTTAATCTACGAAGTAAATTGAGTGCCAATAAACGTAACAAAATTTCAATTCAATTTGAGAAACTAAGTAGGAATGAGACCCCCGAAGAAAAAGCTGCAGTGGTCGGGGGACAAGCTCAGTGCTAAGTAATCCGAAATTTCATCACAAGGATATAGCGAGTGATGAATATCATTCAGATGAACTGAATGACAAATTCGTCAGAAGCTGTAGTTTCACTTTCTGATGCTAGCGTCACACAGAGAACTCGAGAAAGTACCCAGAAGCATAAACAAATTTTTGACTGGCTATACAAGCAAAAACAAACAAGGCAACGTCTTCAAAGTGCCTATTTTCACATAACAGTGCTGTTGTATTACCAATCTGCATATCAGCGTTGAGAGAAAATTATGATATAGTTTAAAATTGCATATTGGTAGTATGTGAATGATTTAAAACAAAATCGAATTCGCAGATGGTTTCAAGGCAGGTGACCATACACGTGCAATGATTAACAAAGGAAGGGGTGAAACACAATTTTTGAAACTCCAAAAGAAAAGAGACTAGTAAGAGCAGAAGAACAATATTTTTATTACGTTGTTGTTGCTATCGATTACAAATCGATAAGCAAACCAGGATAATGAGCCTGCTCAAAGTTTCATGATAAGGTTGTTTGGTTAAAACTTTAAGAACAACACCAATGCGAGCGAAGCATTTGAAACAGTCTTACAAACTGGTCTAAGAAATAAAGAACACTCATTCGTCAGAACTCGTGCTCGGTGAAACTAGAGTTCTAACTCCTAGGAATGACAAGACAGGATGAGCAGTAACGTTAATCCGAAGAAATAAAATTGGTAAACATGGGCCATAGCTCAACTCCTTTGGGAACTGGTTACTGTTCTCAGAATATCTTTAACATCCCGTTCATAAAACATAGAACACCGGCTGTTTTTGTCAGTCAATACAGTACCATATCTTTTTGAAATGTGAAAAAAATGACAAAGCATATGAGAAAAGTATGTGAATTATGACGGAGGCAAGGTCAACTTGAATGAATCCATTTTTCTCATGTAGGGGGGGGGGATAGGCGAGGCGATGGTTGCTATAGAACAGGCAATCCCTTTGCTCTTGACCTGCAGATTAGTAACTGCGCAGCATCAAGATGCAGTACCAAATAGGCCAAACACGGAATAAAATAGAATTTCAGTGCCTACATAGTCAAAGCAAATAGAATTTTGGAGACGCAATAGAAAACCTAAGGACTAAAAATAACCGATCGATTTGAAAAGAGACGAAATAACCAAAAAAACATAATGAAACCTAATACTATTGATAAACCAATCAACATCTTGGAATAATATGAGTGAAGCTCAGGAAGAAAATCGGTTGAAACAACATCACTGAGGGGAAGAACAAAGCATTCAAAAAGATATCTCAGAGCTATGTTACCCAGCATTCAACATAAACTGCCAGATGAGTTATATGTGAGTAAACTTGAAGAAATAGTTAATTAAATGAATCATTCTCGAGCTCATAAACATTATGATTATAGGCCATCTAGAAACGATTCGATTACTACACCGTATTAAGTTTCACCTCCGCTTACCCCCTAAAGCATAGATGAAACACCTAAGTTCATTGATTGAACAGAAAAAAACGTGGAATAAAGTAACCTATGTGAACTTTGTGAGAATAATGGGAGGGATCTGATATAAGAAGCTGTAAAACAGTTCAATTAGTCAGAAAGCCGCAGAAGAAGATATTTAAACGCAGATGTGGCATAAATAAAACGCTAACAACGGCTTCTGCTAATTGGTAAGTGTTGTTCAAGTTCACACTATACCAGTCGCAACCTTGAATACAAATCATAATTCAACAAAATGTTTCTTAGAGTTGAGCGGGCATGCTTCGAAGATTGCAAACACTTCGAAGATAGAAAGAAAAGGGAAGAAAGAATAAAAGAAACACAACTAATGCTAAGCAAGCAAATTAAGAAAGGAAAATGGTATTTGAATGGTGAAGTGTCCTGCACTACCGAGAATGCTGATGCCAGTCATTCAAGTTAAAACAAAAACTTCGTTCGATACTTCTTATGTTATATCTCAACGAAAGAGAAACGACCAAGGTCAGATTTCACATAACTCTGCGAAGCTAAAAGCTAAACGCATAGATCTTATCTACTTTCAATCCTGTTTTGACTCTTACTCGGAAATTCAAATATAGCATGAACATGGTCGATAATGAGTAACCCAATGAGGACGAGCAATATATCTAAAACGAACGAAAAAAACGAAAAAACTGGAAGTAAAAGGATGCAGATGAGAAAGCGTGAACAAAAAAGTTAATCAAACGGTTAATGTAAAATAAATTAACTAAAGTGAAAGAAAAGCAGGTGCTAAGCAGCCTCAGGTGTGCAGCTTAGTGTCATTGATGTAATATAAATAATTGTTAAGAATGTAAAACCTAAATTTTGAGCTATTGGTTAATCGAAAAAATGCTTTAGTCGGGTAGAAACTGATGAGGCCAGGTGAGAGAAGAACAAGAGAAGAGAATAACATTTGTTAACATTCTCATAAAAAAAGCCAACGATAAATACAAGCTGATACTAAAACTGTGTTCTATGTGCTAGTGGTCATTATCATGCTGGATTCTACAACAACCACACTCATTAACCGGAGAGAGAGAGGCGTTGGCCTGTTGTCCGGTCGTTCAATCAATACTAGACGGGTCAACAAGGACAAACCTCAACTAGGCGTATAGGTAAAGGTTCTAAAGCTTCTGTTCCAAAAGAATCACAAACACTAGTTGTAGCAATAAGAAATTAAGCTAAATACTAAGATATACAACAAACAATATCTGTTTCTGCAAATGATTAAACGGCAAATCAACACCACTTGCTGAGTTTTATCTTCGATAAAACATCCCCCGCGTTAATTAATTTGCAATTATTTAGTTATTTAATGGCTTTCAGCTCAAGTTGAAAGTTAGAGAATATGTAGATGGAAAACTTGAGAAAGTATTGGAAAGCAAATTGACAAGACGATTCGTTTCACTCAAAAATCGAACTAAAAAACATCAAAATGATATTTCATCATAAGAGAAGGCTTTTCTTGGGAATTTCGAATGAAAATGTTAGAAGAAAACGCCCATTTGCATCGCCACCTAATAGCAATCAAGAAGAAAGGGAAATTGAAGGATGGGCGAGTAAGAATAAAGATTTCCTTACGTATAACAAAGCAAATGGCTTTTGGAAGGCGAAACACAACAGAGAAAAAGAAAGTTTAACCAAAAGAACTTACTTCTCTATCCATTTTGCTTGTTCTGCTGGAGTTCGGCAAGCATAATACGTATTTGCAACACGGAAACAATTAGGTACGGATAGGACAGAAGGGTGTACAGGATGTAATCTAGGATTTTCATCTGAAATGAATAATAAAGAACTTTCATAAAGATTTTAAACTTACTGAGATCAATCATATGAGAAGCTGTAGTGAAACTCAGAAGGCTTTCATGGGATTTACTGGAACGTAAAGAAGGTAAGAAGTCACGGGATTGTGAACTGTAATTCCGTGAACCATAACCAACAGATAATAAATTTTCTTGGGATCTTTGGATATGCGGAAGGTCCACTCTGTTAAGCGTGCTGAAACAACAAATCTTAATAGTTGTAAACAATGTCCACACAAAGTGTCAAATAAATAAATCTATTTTATGTCACAACTTTTCAAAGCAGGAGAATTTTCCATTCAAAAATCTAGATTATCTGGAATCCAGAAAAGGACGAGATGATCTTACCATTCGTCGTCAGAATTTATAGTATATGTTCCACAGAGTATCCTCATCCGAAACATTTTTTTCACATGAATAGTCGAGTCCCCCCTTTTACTGTCTAAAACGTGATGACTAGGAGAAAACAAGAGAAGATTGTCAAAGATGAGAAATATTCAAAAACGCTAAGCTTTCCGAGAATACGTAACCGAAAGAAAAAAGCCAGCTGAGCAACCAGTGGCAGTGTAAATTCAGTTATGATGTAGGAGTGGAGATTGCTCTTTCTGGTTGAAGAAGAAGCAGGCTGAATGTGAGAGAAAAAGATCAGGCGCATTTCCATCGAGAACAACTGATTAGTTCAGCCATAATCAACATTTCTTCACTTCGAAATTCAATTTTTTTATAAATCGAATGAATATATTCTTATGTAGAAGGTTCGACGTGTTAAAAACAAAAAAAAAGTGCAAAAATACAGCGCAATAACAAAAGTTGCAGAAGAAAAATTAGTTTTATCTATTGAAAACCAGTATTTCATTCTCTTTAGACTATCAGTTGCTCGAAAAATGTATCAGTGATTGTGATTATAACGAAAGACGAGGCTAATACAAACATGGTATTACAGCAATGAAAACATCGAAAGAAAGACCGTCAATTTTACCACAGAGAAAGGAACGGAGGGATAGTCCAGTTTCTCAGAGGATAATGGGCCCACAGCTATCTATCTGTGTTCACTCCATACTTTTAGGGTTGAATGATGGATAAGACCTCTTTCTATTCTATAAGGCTTTGTTTTCCATCATACAGTAAGTAGTCTAAGTATTCGTCTACAGCGCTATGAATATGAAACATTGAAACTAATCTTTAAATGAGAGTCGTGATGGATGGGGATATTATAAATCAGATTTCGAATCTCACAAACTTAAGAAAGTACTTCAAAACACAATTATTCAAAAGAAAAACTATTAATTCAAAAAAAGTGTTTCGAAATCCCTCAGAATGAAAACGATTAAAAACCGGACGAAGAAAAATGGGAGGGAACAAGTTCAGAAGGAAATATTGTTCAGTTAAAAAACATTGGAGAAAATACCGTTTGAGTTGTGAGAAGTCTTACCGTTTGGATTTATAAACAATCCTTCCCCTTACTAGTCGAGGGTTCGCTACTCCTCGAGAAGGTGACAACGTACGCATTCAAACTTCAGAAGACTATGCTACAATTGCTACCCCAGCCTCCGCTTAAACGAAATGAGAACAGTCCATTAAACTCAAAAGAACGAACATTGTAAAATAAGCAATGAATTGTGAATGTAGGTGTTGAGTAAGTAAGAAAATAAAAGCTTGTTCGAGTTTGCACAATGGAAACATGTGAAGAAATATCCGCGCTCTCGTTTGTTAATAAGTTCAATCAAAGAAGATCATGATGTTGTTAGATAGTTGGAGAGAACACTTAACTGTGCTAAGTTTCTAATACCAACAGATCAACAGTTAGTTAGGAGACCGGTTGAAAATAAAAACAAAAACCTTAGAATACACAACTTGGAGAATTGCAATACAAACGACACTTTTGGGTCACTTTTGATATGCATGTAGATGAAGATAAAGACCGGTATAATGATAAGAGATAAGAGGGTAAGTGTTCGAATATGGATAACTATAAACATAAATGGAGGATAGATACAAATAAATCGAAAGGAAAGCGCCGAATTGCATTAATCGAGCTAAATTTGTCAGTCTTGACACTGTCATAATCATAAAGAATTTGATGAATATAGAGAAGAGCGTTCAATGGATGGCGCGATTTCTCATAAATCCAAGTGACTGAAGAGAAAGCACATATATGACAACTAATAAAGAAATCATAAAGTCGAAATAAAAAACGGCGCCTTCAACAGAGAAGATGTTAAACTTAGGACATTAGTGTTTTGTTGTCAAAACCACACAAGCTTTCCCGTCAATTTTCAAAAAAGACAATAGCTATGCGACATCTTCAAATGTGTAATAAAATAGTGATTTCTCAACTAAAGCGACAAATGTTACGGCCTACGTTAGATTTATGGCATATCCGATAAAACAAACGGTTGTCCTCGACATGAGCAGCCAGAAAAGTAAGCTGAACAAGGTGGACAAGGGAATCAGTTAAAATTCCAAAAGAAACGGAGGTTTGTTGTAAATCGAAATGCGGTGGAGGAAGCGTTGAAGCCAGGGGGGAAAGTTTGTTGGAAAAACAAAACAAAGTATGTAACAATGAAATTGAATCAATTATTAATGAACGGAAAAAAAAAACAAGGATATACCAATCAATATAAACCGTCTCAGAGCGAGCAAACGTGTTTATAAAAATTGGTACGTAGCAGATACTGTATTGGGTGATCCTATTGGAGGCAGATCAGATAAAGATGAAATCATAGTGCTTCCTCACATAAAACATTTGCTGCCAATCATTATGTTGCCACCAGCAAGAAACGATTTGACATTAGAGAGCAAACGAAAGAGAATAGTCCATCAAGCATCTCATGCCCATCTATATGCTATTGTTAAACCTAGCAAGCATGATGAACTACCTTGTTTGGTCTATGAATTGTAAAGAACACAAAAAATTACAATTCTCCATTAACTGGAGAGAGAGAGAGAGATGAGAAGACGACTCAAAGAATCCATTTTAAACTATTAAGTATGAGTTTTTGATTGTCTCCAGATGCCAAGAATAGTTGTGACATAGACTTTCGACATCATTAATAACATTATAAGACAATTAAAATAAACTAACTGTTGTGGTTCTCCAGGAACTGTTGGTTGTTTTTCCAGCTTGCTGACACTCTTCGTCCTCTTTAGAGGATTCGTGCGAAATGGACGCGCGAAGAAGTTCTTAAATTGAATTCCGGTTAGATTTTATAATTACAATTTAATAATGTTGGAAGAAATTCAAAAACTTACCGCTAATCGCTGGGGCGTAGTCGAATTTTCATCAGGTAGGGAGTTCTCCTGAAAAGAGAATGCAATTAAGGATGAGACGATAAGGAAGCACTATGAAACGGAGGATAGCCATCAGTCGCCTCTCTTTACTCAAGCGGTACAGACCATTTGTTTGAAATAAAAAGAGGAGAGCGCTGATATACCCGTTCATTACAGATGAAAACAACTTACGCCTAGAAGAGCGCTGCTCGGTGTGAGAGTCAGGTTAGTACTGGATCCAGAAGACCCTCGTTGAGCCATGTGTAAGTTATGAGCAGAGTTTGCAAGAGAACGATTTGTTGCCCAACTACTCCCACTTCGTCTATCCAACGGTTCAACTTCGTCATTTGTTGTATCTGCAATGAATCGAAAATAGAAATGATCTCTCAGTATAATCCTTTTTGTTTTCTAATGTGTTATAGTGAACCTTCTATATAGTTAGTCAATCATGCTTTGTTCGTCATCATTGGTTAACTCTTAACTCTTCCTCTAGTTACTAGTTCCGTTTTGAGTTCCGTTTTGATTTCACAACGTTGTTTGACAACTAAGTATGAATGCTTAGGTTGTTCTGATGATTTATATTTTCGCATCGCCTCCACAAAAATCACAGTTGAAGTCAACACTGTTTGTTTGAGGGCAAGAGAACCCAACAAATGATAAATAGAACGAATGGAGGAGTCAGAATCAGAAAGCACATTGTAGCAAACACTTGGCTTCATCTCGGAACATTCTTTTCGTTATTTGAGTGAACAAAAAAAAGAAGATTTGCTCCATTAAAAGGATCAAGGAGCATAGCCGATGTATGCAATCGAAGCACTGAAGAGCAGACAGGAAAACATTGCCCACTTGAGATTAAGCTTAGAATCATCAAAATCAAAGTATAATATGAAGGAAGTATAAATTTCTTCATTCTCAGTCGTGTAGATCAATCACATACCTTAGTGGATATGAATGATATCCATAATCACCTAGTCTATGGATGGTGTCGTTAGGTGATGAAGCTGAGATATACTAGGAATCAAAGTAGACCGATGTTCAGTAATCATTCTTATCATCATGTGTATGATTTCTGGAAAATTCGTTTTTCCAATCCAAAACCGGATTTCATAGATTCTATCTCAACATTATTCTTTTTGAATAATGGCAAAATAATGATATCATTTAACAGCCTTTCCAATTGGCGTTAGTACCTAGCTTCAGAAGCTGAAGAAAGGTAAAGCTTCAGCTTAGCTATCATTCAAAAGGCTTTTCTATTCAGCACTCAAATATACTCCTATCCAACAATAAAGAACAATCAAAATACAGATTTTCACAGCTTTAATTCTCCCACTTGTCTCTAAATTCCTTTTCAGGAGAGCTCAAGGGCCATGAGAAAAAAACATAAGCGGCATTCTATAAGATGATGATGATGATGAAAGCGTGTCCAGGGTCATTCATGTTAAAGGTAACTGAGCTGACAACCAACAGATTGAATTCTCCCTCCCTCTCTCTATCTCTCTCATTCTCTCTCAGTGAAAACACTTAATCCCCCCATCTCTCTTCTAAACGAGATAAAAAAGAGAAATGAAAGAAGAAAAACAAATGGAAAAACCAACAGCCTTATCCCGATACAGTCGAAATCATTTTTTTGTTTAAAAGTTTGTCGGGGCCCGTGTGTTCTTCGCTTCCTTAGAGATTAAAGAAATGGAGACGTTAGATAGTGATGAACCAGCCCTATTAGGAGTGAGTAGATGCAACATCACGTAAAGATTTCTTCTTAAGAATTGACTTATAAACTCTTAAGATGTATTCATTACGATCATTTCCTCTTACTATATAATATAAATAATATAATTGGCAGATGAAGGTAATATATGGTTCATCATCATCTCAACTCATTATATTCACAAGTCCACTATAAGATTATAGATGAATAGCGTATAAAACAATGATATAGACATTATAGTTAGAGAGAACAGGTAAGTACCTCTTATAAAGAAATATAAAGAGAGATCAAGAGAGAGAGAGAGAGAGAGAAAGAGAGAGAGAGAGAGAGAATAATCTTTTTTTTTAAATGAAGGAAAGAGATCATTATCTGATATAGACAGGCATTAGATGCCATATACGATGACAATCTATAGAAAAACTATTGATCATCTAAGGAATAATTCTCATTTCCTATGCCAATTATAGAAAAAGTAAATGAAATTCATCAGCTTAAAGCTTTGCGAACATAAAGCTTAACGAAGAAAGTGAAGATTATATATACGAAAGAAAGCTTTGATCGTTAGAGGAAGTCAATAAGTTTCTTATTGATTGTAGTTTGAATGAAGAATAGCTGTAGAATGATCAATAACTGAATCATTAACAATAAAATGAAAAAGAGAGGTTAACAACATGGAGAGAGAGACAGAGAGAGAGAGAGAGATGGAGCATTGTGTCAAAAAAGGTATTTGTTATCACTTTCTATAGAAGGTGCTATGAGAAAGAAACGTGGACGTTACCAAAAAAAGTTTGTTTGACAAGAAAGTGTCAGAATATTTTCATCTTAAAGGTACATCTAGAACTCATTTGAATTTTCAAGCAGAAAAAAGATGTCCAACGTTCAAATATGGAGAATCTGGGTTATAGTCCAGTCAATTGAAGATTGTTCAAAATGATCATAAAACTAACCTAATTCATAATCAATAGGGGGAATATGTTCTTCGGGTATTATATTTAAGGAATATGTGCTATAGTGATGCCACTTGGGGCCAGAAGCTGGGGTTGTACGACGCATGTTATCAGACTTGCCAGCTTGGATGAAGAATGTGACAAACGATTCGAGATTAGAATAGTAATCACGAATCAAATTTGTTTTTTTAGAGATATATAAGGGTGATGAATAATATAGTTAAATGATAACGTGTAATATGAATCACCGGACCAACGTATGTAGACTGATGTTAGCTTGAAGTGCAAGCAGCGGCGACGGAAGATGTACCGCTTGTCAACAGACAAACGACACAGTCTGTTAGATTTAGAAGACTAACTAGCCTGGTTTAGGCCAGATAATCCTTTGGAGTAGTAGACCTTTTAGAGGTTCGAAACTGACGTCAGACCAGATTGCTAGGCCGTATTCGTCGTGTTCAATCTCTCCAGAAAGCCAACGGAAATAAGCTTGATGAGGTCAGCAGCCTGATCAAGCGTTTTCGTTGGCGTATACCGACTTGTCAATAGATGAAGAATAGTGATTATTAATTCTAACTTGAATACGACAGCAAAAATCAGATAGCCGCCGTTCTGAATCAATTCGCCTTCAGAGTTGAGAAGCGATGAATTGAGTTGAAAAACAACAACAATAAACGGAAGGCAATGTTCCTCAAGTATTAATTAGAGTATAACGCCTTCCAAGATAACAAGCCGATAAATGAGAGCTGACACAGTCTAGGCCGGTTAATGCAAAGGCTGGCCGTTCTTCGTTCGTTATTTCGTTGTCCGTGGTCAGAATATGTCTCCGCCCGCCCGCCGCGAAAGTCGCACGCGAGGCCAGGCAGCGATGCGCAAGACGATCTAATCCCAAGTTGCGATAGACGAAAAAGGGTGGGGGGGGGAAGAAGAAGAAAAGAGTGGGGTGTGTGGAGGTAAGAAGATGTTTCTGGATGAATGCAGTGATAACATTTCATCCATAGTTCTTCACTATTCCTTTTTTAGCTGTTCTATCCATCATTGGTTTTCCTCAAGCCGTGTGAACACTTACAATCTCTTCATAGATTTCTCAGTTCACTATTAATCTTTTCCTTTCTCCTTCAGATGAATACCGTCATTATCATGAGAGAAATGTGCCATATTATGGATGATGAGAGAGAGAGACTAAGAATTTGAAATTAGACGAAGGATCTAGTTGAACAATAACGAATTGAGTGACTAGGCGTCTCAGACATTATCATTCTCATCATCGGCATCTTCTTCAACTCATTCAAAGAATGAGGAAAGCGTTCTTCATCTCCTTCTCCTCCTTCTTCTTCTTCTTCTATTCATAAGGATGATTCATATTGAGAAGTAACCTATGTCCTGATAACACATACTGTCGTAGAGAAGAATAGGTAAAGAAGATTAAACACCGCAGCAGCAGCAGCAGCACAACTACCACCAGTAGTATGTCTTTCAAATAACAAAAGTATATATTCGAGGAAACTTGTATTTGTTTGCTTGTTAAGTTTTTCGATTCGAGTGTCCAATATCAAAGCCTTATGACATCTTGTTATAAAATCTCTATGCAAATATGAGATTAAGAGATTCTATTCTCAAATTCAATCAAATACATTTCTGTTGCTTCAAGTTCTGATTAGAGGACAAGAAGAGAAGAATCTTAACCAGTTAACAAACGTGAGAGAACTCAAGGTCGATTGTTTAGGCTAAAAACAATCCATTTATACTAACTATGTGTTAATACCATATATGGTTAGTGTTAGTGGGCACTCAACCATACATTTAAATATGAATTATATGATAACATCTTCTAAGAGCTGTTAATCGATTTCCAAAAATGGAATATCACATAGTATAAGGCTATAGTATATAAGTTGTGCAGATATATCCACAACTCATAATCCCTTGAGTTTTCATAGTCTTGACATCTGAATATTCTATTTCCATATGTTTTCCAAATTTGTCTTCTTGACTAAAAACCCGAATGTGATGGAGTGATGGTTATATAATTCACTGAACACTCGGTATGTTTATCCATCACAGAGCCATGCGACTATACAGGAACGAGTTCCATGAAGATCGAGGGTTTGTCTGCTAAGCAATCATTTGCATAACTCTCTTAATATTCCATCTTTAGTTAACTCAATTTCATTTTGGCTAGTTCCAAGTTCACGTAAACAAAGACGAGGAATCCAATGATGGTCTGGCTTTCCTTAGCCTCATAGTGAGTACAGAGTCTCTATAACCAACCGAGATCCAAGAAATTAGCATAAAAATTGTTTTGAGGGTCATATAAGTCCACAAGGCTTTTCAGCATCAAGCTCATCTAACAAACTGTTCAATGAGTCAGGCAGAGTTAGGAGATAGCACAGGAAGATCGGATAAAGGAGGAAAGTAGAAGCTTAAACAAGTTACGTGGAAATCCGTTTGGGCTAACGTTCCAAAGGAGAATCAAACACAAAAGAGAAAAGATTTTAGTCATGACTAGCTGGATAGCTGTAGAGATAAAGATAATCCAATGAATCACTATGGTGAAATTGAAAAAAAAAAAGAAAAAAAACACATCCATAGTTAGGTCAGATAACACTTGTATCATAAGAAGTGGATGAAGTGTAAAAGCTTATAGAAAGAACCTGTTTACTTTGAGAAGGAGATCATCACTCGTTCAATAATGAATGTAAAGCCT